TGGACCGCGCTGATGCTGGCTTGCAGTCTTTCAAATTAGGCGCATGCCTAGGCAACTGGTTGAAGGAGCTGGTGTTGGGCTCCGTTTGACTTCCTTCCCAATGAAAAATGACTTTTTAGAGGGCAATCAGGTTTGTCGGACCCCCTTGCCAGGTTCCGCGCTGATCTGCAGGGGGTCTAGCATCCTTGAAGTATGACAAGTAATTGCTTTACTATGTCATATGCAATTCTCACTTCAACGGGCATGTGTACATAATGCGTCATGATGTCGACGCAGTATCGCTCACATCCCCAACCGAAAATTCCTGCATCAATGTTGAACACGTGTGGGGGAACGCCCCAAGAATGTGTGCTTCCTTTTTGCTTTACTTTGGCTTCCCGTGGTTTCCCCTTTGGCTTCGCTTTAAGCCAACCTCGAAATGCCTTCAGAAGAGACACCCCAAGCCCAACCCGCGCCTTCCGGCCAAAGGCTGGAAATCCCACGGAGGCCACCTGCCACAATGCCCGCGATCGTTGGAATCACGTCTAACCGATGCATCATGTTCAAAAAATATCTACATAAAAACTGTGCCAAAATGAAACCAGTAGAGTCCGGCTAGCGTCAACCAAGCTGACCTCCAGAGGCTTGCGGTTGACGCAATGTATTTCAAATGAGGGAACGGAAACCCATGGTTTTCTGGTTTGCTGGTTGGGCGTGGCTGGTTCGCTAGCATCAGGCTTCGGCTTCCATTCCCCCCGCCCATTTGCTAGTCCGCGCCATGGCGATGTGGGTCACCTCATCCGACTCAGCGCCACTCGCGCGAGGCCCGCTCGGCGCGAAGGACTCGGCGGAGCGGTGGGCCAGCAGCTGCCACCAGCGCTGGGAGGCCTCGCTGAAGAGCTGCCGCGCCTCGACCGCGAAACAAAAACGCCGAAAGGCCGCGCCTTGGCTCGGAAAAACCCTCTTGTTGGTTTTCGGGTGCAAAGGGAAAGCCTAAATCCCATTTAGGGGGGATGGACGAGCCGCGATACCAAGGGAACCCCCTGAAAACCAGAAAGTAGTCTGGGGAGGGAAAAGAAACCAAAAAAGTCCTGGGAGGAAACCATCGAGCCTGTTGATTCCGAAGCCCATCTTTTTCCAACACTGCGCACATCTGAATCACAGCTCAGATTTCGAAGCACACACCACTTCGCAGGAGCCATAGCGGCGTTGCACTGCCGCCAGTGCGGCGGAGCCTCGCCTCACAAAGGCGAACTGCGCGTTGCAGGCCAAGGGATCTTTGCTTCCGCGGCCCCTTCCAAGTACCAGGCCCTCACATCTGCAGATGGGGAACATACCTGACATTCTACAGGGATGAGCATTGCAACATGGAGAACTCTTTGGCAGCGGTGATCAAAGAGAATATGTTGCTACAATTCGTGGGCAAGACACGAAGTTTGCCCGGACCATTCATGCCATATTCCTTAGCCAGATGCAGCCCCTGCAAATAGTGTATTGTTTTCTGGCCAAAGGGAAATGAAGGAAACCCAAGGAGAGCCTTTAAGGGCAAGCTGGGATAAGTTCGGCAATGATTCATACTCCACCTCCCCATCGATCACTGGCTCTGAGTGCATCGTTGAAGGCATATCACCATCTTGGCATCCTCGCCCAAGGCTATCATGCTGAAAGCCCGGGAAAGTGTCGACATCTTCCAGGCCAAACATCCTGAGATTTTGGCGCAGGAACGCTGGGCCCACATCTAGGGTACGCAGAAAACAGTATATTCAGATTGTGCTTCATATTTCATATTTAGGCTTCACTTAACTATGAGATATATGGGAGACCCCACAAGCCAATACTGTTCAAGCACTCTCCTCAAACAAAATTTTCCACACCCTGCTCAGGAGGGCAATCACAAAGTCAAAAATCGACTAAAGACAAGCCAGAGGGAATAGTAGCAGAACAGATATGCTTAAACGCCTTCAGGCATCAAAAAGTCATGCGACAGGAAGGTATCCATAATCCAAGTCATGCCATGCCGTCCAATCTCTTCGTCGATCATCTCAATCTGCAGAATGTCAACCTTGTGAAGGACCGGTGCGACTCCTGCAAACACGGCTTCGTAACTTTGGCGATCATCCACGTCGATCTTCAACAAGTGGATCCTGCCTTGCCAAGACTGCGATTCAAATTTGGGATGTGTCAAACTCGGGTTACCCTACAAATGGTGGATTCCCTGGTCCCCCTTGAAAACAGCCCAAAGCGTATCTCAAAAAATAAACGTTGGCCAGACCCTGACTCAAACACGAAGCCAACACATTGTTGCTTTCACTCTGCATCCGAACAGCTCATCCTGCTCGGCTGTGACGGCGTGCAGAAAGCAACTTGGGTGTCTTTCCTTTGTTTTGTTTTTCTTGTCTTTTCCTCTTCTTTTTGGGGGGGGACCTCCTGGTGGTCGCTTTTAAAATCAACAGGAAACCTATCGATTTGAAGTTCCTCTAATTCAGAGAGACGTCTACAGTTGGTCCGGCCGCGTGGCTAGTCTTCTCAAAGAGCTGCGCGACATAGGGATCGCCTCCCACAGCGCCGTGCAGAGTCGCCTTGTGCTGCCAACCATTCAAGTCTCCTTGGCCGTCCATCAGCCTACTTTCGACCCCGATGCACAAACCTGATGGACTAACACCTTTATTTTACAAAATCCAGCGAAGCTTTCCTTGTGGCATTAGAAGAACATGGGATACATTTCTATTTGCAGCGCCCCGGCATTCTTATTTGGGCATGTCTCAAAAGCTCTTCAACCCACCTCAAATATCGTCAAATCTGAGCATGCTACCTCCCACAACCAAACATGGAAGTGCAAGAACCCCTTCTGGAAGACTCATTCTCGTTTTGCAAGCAGGATGTGCACCAAACCATGTGGGGCTGAGTTTGTGCAGAGGCTCGTTACCCCTTCGGGCTGTCTTGTTGGGGGTGCAAATCCCATTTTGACACATACGCATTTGTTGTTCGGAGCTGAAAAGCCACAATTTGTGGGGTCCAAAACCCTATCTTGACCTCCCGTGTCAGCTCCAAGTCTCGCGTCAGCTCAACGAAGCTCCGTTCCACGGGGTTCGAATAGCCGGGTTCGAACATATGCACTTCATGGCCTTCGCTCAGCAAAGGCCAGCTGCCTGAGTTTGCCCAAAACCCCGCAACAAAAAGGAGTCAAACATCTAAGCTCATCGGCTTTCAGCACGGCAAGTCGATTCGATTTTCAAAATCTGCTAATCCTTCGGTCAGTCAGTCATTCTTTAACTCCGTGATTTGCGGAAGGGAACAAGAAAACCTGCTGAAAGTAAAAGCAGAGTGCACGATCCTGAATCGCCGGCCCCAATGTCAATCGCAAGCCCAGGTGTGCCATTCGTGGCAAAGTTCATCAGCCAGGGCAATACATCGCATTCGGCAATCCTCTCATGGCCAACTGGCGGAAAGAACGGCTGCTTAAACATTGTTCAGAAAAATATCTGGGCTGGATCCAACTCCAGATCTCGCTGCCAGGTGTCTTGTCTTGATCATCACCTAGGATCTGTCGTTTCCATTTGGGTCCCCAACTTTGAAGCCATCCCAGTGAACCTTGCCATCTGATGGATTCTGCCGCGTCACTCGGGAAGAAGATTTTGAAAGGTTCCTCAGCTGAAAAAGGTCCAACCACAATCACTGCCGCAAGGCGCAGGTGTGTGATGGCTTTGCCGACAAGTTGGGATTTCTGAACTCAATTCCACTTTGTGTTTTACAGATCCCCCTGGTTGGCAAACATGGGACAGGGGATGGTAAGGTATGTAGTGGCATAAAGCATGCCGGGCTGCCTCGAAGTACAACCGCCGCACACACGATACTGTATCACGCTGTATAGGCCGCAATCAAACGCGCATCCATGGTCTAGAGCCTATAGTATTCGCAACATTCATGTTCTCTCACGTGCCAGAAATCAGCGCAATCCCTATTGGCTTGCTGGAATCCTCTCATCATCAATCAGCGTGACTTAAATACATTCAATCAAGACTCTGAGTTGTCTTTGAACGTCAGCACTTGGAAGGTGCAAATATCATATCTGTAGCCTCAGGACGCGCGATTTGAAGCTCGCATGTTTCGAGTCATCCACATGGATTCGCATTGGCGACTTCCCCTCCCAAACATGCACCTAGCAGCGACTACTGTATCTCCGGCACTCAATGCCGTGGTGGTCAGTTTCACTCTTCATGAGATGTCCCCCCTCCCCGATTTCCCCGAAAATAGGACGTGGACAAGCAAGAGCTTAATAATTAAATAAGGCAACCGGCCAGGGGTGCTACAAGAAGAGGTGTTGTATGAACTCGCCGTGCCATTGCGCCAGGTCACCCGCTTTTCTCCTCAAAGGAGGAAGGCTACCACCTTGCCCGATGCATGCGGAGCGCTCCTAGCAGCCATCTTCAGGTCGCCAAACCATTCTCAGAACAAAATGGTTGGAAGGAAAAATGACAAAATATCAAAAGAAAGAAGCACACAAATGAAAAATAATAACGTGATCGGACAAGTGCGCCACATGCTTATACGCAGCTGTTTATGCAAAGGCGCCATCGCTCTCCGTGCCCTCTTTTGCTTCTTTTGCGTCAGCCGGTCTAGCTCCAATTTTTGAACCGCCAATTCATGGAGCCACCGCGTCACAGCTTGACTGTAGTGACACAGCCGTTCCGAATCCTCGGCCGTGAGTCATCACAAAGCATGTTTGGCCATGTCAAGCTAGGAGAGCCCGGAGTGTTGCTTTTCCTTTCGGCTTCCCTTCAAACCAACCTCCAAAATGCTACCATCAAAAAGCACACACGCGCACACGGTGAGCAAGGAAAAGTGTGATGTTGTAGGAAAGGCATATGGCAAGTTCTGGGCGTTGAAGCAAAAACATAGCATAATTCCTTGCGATGGTTCCCCTCGCAAAAAAAGTGGCTTAGTCTTGACCATCCCATGTCTCTGCTGCAAGCCACTGGCGGATTCGGCAAACAGTACACACCTGCGCTGATCCTCACCGCGTCAGCAGGCGGATTCCGACGCTTCGAAGGCGCGGCCGCGCAAACCAAGCAAAGGCCAAGGATCCCCTGCGACCATTTGAGCAACCCACTTCGCGAAAGGCTGTGTTCATCTCCCAAGCTCTGAACAAGAAAAAAAGGCGTGGATGAACAGTGCGTATTTGAAGAAAATTAAGCACCCAGACAGATTGAACATCGCTTTGGTCTTCTTGAAAGGGGACCAGCCATTGGGTGTTACAAGTTGTAGTCAACCCTGCCTGCGGCAGCGACTGCCTCATGCCCGTCGCAGAGGGGTGGGTCACCCATTGGTGAGTGAGTCTGGGGCTTGGCCAGGACGCACAATCTTGGTAAACTCCCCATCAAAACATATACGTCAAGGCTTCCAAAGCTCGAACTTGTCCAATGATGGGAAGGTCTTGATAGTTAGGTGAGGGCCGGATGCGTTTCATCGCCATTTCGCAAATGGCCTTGATCTTGCGCCAAGGGCCAATGTAGAGGATCCAAATAAAGTTGTTCTTTTCCCATGATGACGCTCTCTCCTGAACCCATTCTTGACATCGCTGAGCCATCCTGGCTACGGACAACTCACAGTTCAGCTGGATGAAAGTGTGGCCAGGGGCGGATCGCTAGTGTGCTTGTGACGACACCCGCGGGTCCCTGGTGATACTTGCTCATTCTCATTTACCCGCCAAGGCAAGCCGTGGGAATAGTAAGAAAAGGACCTCGCAATGAGTGTGGACTCCCCTCCCTACAAGCATGAATTGGTGGGTGAGGGCGGTCGATGGCAGCAGGGCAACTGCCAAATTGCCTTGGCCTTGGTCTCTTCTTTGGAATCCCTGCGAATATGGCCTTAGGATTGGCCAAAAAAGTGTTAACTGCTTGTTTGCCATTAAAGTGGCCTTACCTGATTGGCGCGACCATCTAACCTACTTGTTTTCGCCCGGTTTGAGAGGGGATGGCGCTAGGAGTTCCACGTCGTTGTCGTCGAGAAAGGCAAGGGAGGCAGCAACAACTGTAGCAACGACACGACGCAAATGTCCCTGTCCATGTGCATATTGTCTCGGGAGCCCGCTGTTCTGACAGCCATGCTTCTTGCCTTGTTCATACGGCACAACACTCCCAAACCACCCACGCGACACATGCATCTTCTCACGCATGCACGCATGCAAGCTGACAGAGTTGTGTAGGTTGCCCCTCCAGGTAGCCGAGTTCGCCGTGAAATCCCTCGCCTGAGGCGCCAGGTGATGCCAAGGGGTCAGCCAGGTCAACACCGCCTGCAGCAAAGAGACCCGCCATGCCTGGCACCATCTGGGGGCGGATGAAGCGCGAAGGTGCTTCGATTGCTTTTCCCATATGGTTTCAGGACTAGTCTTGTATACTTTAGACTTTGGTTAAACGGGCGTGGGTTTTACACGAATTCACCATCCCAGCCATACCCCCTCTTTGGGGTTGAAAGCATTAGTTACCCCCCCGCAAATGCACAACAACAGCCCTTCAATGGCGCAAGTTTCATGCGGGAGGAAGCGTCGAAAGTGACTGGTGGGCACTTGGTAGGTCGCAAGAATCGAAACTGGCCCCCAACAAAAGCAGTCCCGCAGAACTCAGATGCCCAGTGGCTATGGGAAAAAAAGGGCATCCTTTTTTGTTTGGTTGAGTTTACCGAAGGGCCTTTTCCCCAAAAAAAAGAACAAGGGCGCCACTGGGCAACTGGGAGAACGCAGTTTGCTGAAGCTGTGCTATCTTGTGCTAGGCCGCCATCCATCAAGCAAGCCGCCCGCTTTGACGGGACGCCTGAAGACCGAACTCCCCGTCGTCGGTCAAATCAGACCACCCAAAGCGGAAGACCGGGGCCAAGACCGAAGAAAAGGCCACCTGGCCGGACGAGCATGACGGCCATGCTTCCTGCTGAAACACGCGCAACCCTCCGAGGGCTTGCGGGATGCACGTTCCCCCCCACCCCCCCGCCACCCCCACCCCATCTAGCAATGCAAGACGATGAAACGCCATTCGTTCACCCGATGAACAATAATATATAGATGCTTTTGGGAGAAACAGAAAAATAAGCTCCCCAACAGCATGCGGTGCTCTTTTTAGTGCTCGCAGCACCCCACAGCCCTTGCAAAACCTCGTTGAACCCTCGTTGAACCCTCGCGCAACCCTCGTGGAACCTTACCTCAGGGCCGCCCCGGACCACCGCGAGCCTATCTAGGCTGAGACCCAGCTTCCAGCTGTTGGGGAAAAAAACGAAACCGCCTCCGCGGCGTGCTGGAAGGGGTCGCAGGCTGCGCAGGTCGACGCCTCCACCAGCCGCAGCAGCTCCAGCGCGGCGCTCTCGAGCCCGCGCTGCAGCTGATCCTTCCGCCAGATGGGACAGGCAAAAGGAAAACAGCACCAAGGGGGTTCATTATGACTTATGACTTTCAGTTTGTGGGGATGAGTACCCACCCTTTAGAGAATCCTCCTTAAAGGACAGAGAATGGAAGTTGGCTTACAGTCATGGATGTCAATCACCCCTCCACAAGTAGAAAGGCCGGCAAAAATGGCTTCCACTAACCCGTTCGAGGTGGGATGAACGGAAGATGTACTTGACTGGACCTGGAGGGCCCTGAAAGTCCTCTTTTTTTTTTCTGAAAGGAGCCTTCTGGTGGGTTCCATGTTTGGCGGTAAACCAAGAGGCGACAGTGAAGGAGCATTCATCAAAAAGGAAATGTTAGGAACCGTGCAAAGCCACCACTCCCATTGGTCAAATGGTCAAACTGGGCCTCTGGATTGCGGACCACTTTGAGGGTACCCTGCTGGGGTCGGTTTGAAAGGGAAACCGTATGCAGACCATTTTGCGAGTACATGGGATTCTTGCCATGGCACTTTGTTGGCCCTTTGAGTGCCCAGTTTCACCGATCCTTTGCCCAGCAAGGCAAGGCGGTCGCTGTTTCCGGCACGACTGCCCAACTGCCCGACTGCCCAACGACTGCCCGACTGCTCAGCCGAGGCCCCCGGCCCACTCGGAGGAGAACCGTGCAATGCCCTGCGCCAGGTGCCCGCAGCATGCCGCCCTCAGCGGCATCATCGGCGGCGCCCCGCACTCCTCCGAGGGCGGGTCGTTGCAGCAGGCGGCCTGGTCCGAAGCACCGTCAAACTAACTCGACCCGACAAACCAATCAAGTTCAGCTGCCCCAAAGGAAAGCCCATTGTGCAATATCGTGCGCGATGTTTGAGAGGCCATCGGAAATGCCCAGGAGCTGAGGTAGCTACACCCACTGCTATGGTCAAAACTCATACGCTCCTGATAAGCCCTGATAACCCCAAGTAGGGTGTTTCTCAGAAAGGCGTCTGCCTTCATGAGAAGGAGCTCGCTTCAGGCTCCCTTTTACAGGGTTGCTGGCAAAGCGAGCTCACCTGTTCACCCGAGCACGTGATGCGACATGGATCTAGCAGATGCCCTTGCCAGTTGACAAGACAACACATGTTCGACCCACAGGGCTTGGCCGTGGCAGCGGCACTCCAGCCTCGTACTCCATGGCCGAAACCCAACACCGCGGCAGCGGCACCATGACGTCCATGCGCCCAGACACGCCCCAAAACCGGGAGCTTCTGAAGGCCGGGGGACCACCCAAAAAAGACATCACCAATCAGATTCCCCCGATCGGTGATTTGGGCTGCTGGTGTTGGAGGCGGTAGCTTCCCGTTTACCCTCGAACAAAAGCAGAGTTTCAAACCGAACCAAAACCACTAATCCAAACAACGGACGCCTCAACCTCGAAACAAAAGCATGAACGTGGCGATCCAAAAACAAGTGGGTGCTTCAACCTCAAAGCAACATGAACATGGCGACCCTCAAGGAAAGAAGGACAGCCATCCAACTGCGGGTCTTTCTGCGTCTGTACTTGCACAGGTTTGGGCAGAATCCCTTGAGTCCAAGGTGATGTAGACCCAGATTCAATTGGTGGATTAATATAGGTGTTCCGCGAAAAGTGAAAGCCTGCAGTTTAAATGGAACACCCCCGCTACTCAACCACGGCGTTGGAATTCTCATTCCTGCGTTCCAATCTCTCACTCGGGCTACAGATGCCACCCTCTTTGCGCAAGGCTTGCGCTCAGGACGAGCCCCAGGAAAAGGCACATGTTCCAGACTTGACACAAGCTTCTTCAGTCTTGGACAAACATGCCAGCGGAAGCCGAACAAGCAATCTCTGAATTGATCAAAGAGCGCAAAAAATGATCATCCCGGCTTTTATGTGCACTCCGCATTGCCGAGTTGACTGAAGCTGACTCCGCATTGCCTCTGCCGCTTCTTCACGTCCTTTGGAAGGAACAACTTGAGGCTGCTACCTCGTGCCACCACAGAAACCGAGAACGTGTCCGAGGGTGTGCGTGCGTGTTGTGTGTGTGTGTCCACTTTGACATACCCTTTGGGAAAAGGACTCCAAAAGGCTAGCTAACCTTGAGTGGGTTGGCAACAAGGAAGCCATGGGGTACGAACAAGGGGGTAGATAATATGTACTTCCAAGAGTATGCCAGGGGCCAAAAGGGCTCTGGCGAGGAAGTCGGTGAGAAGGACTGTGCCACAAACTCTGCGCGTGGCATAAGTTGACGTTTTCCGCGGGCGCGCCAAACGCGGACTTCGTAGCCCTACGCAGCAAAGCCCAGAGTAACAGAGCAAGAGTCCCTGGCGCGCCTTTGGCCCAAGTTGCGGGCAAAGCTCAAGCAACGATTGCCTGGCTACGTGGGTTCGAGCCCGAAAACGCGTCGGACGCTAACTTGCTGGATCGGCTTGGTGGTTCTCACGTACTTGGCGCGAAAATCTGGGGAAGGGCCTACGCATGGCCATGCTGAACCACCAATCCAATGCCTTCCCTAGATCTTCCAGCACCCTGACAAAGCAAGCCGTGGGCTGATCCTCCATTTGACACCAAGAAGCTGATCAAGAAGGACCGCTTTTTTCAGGATCCGTGGACGACCAAGGTTCTTGAATTTGTCTCAGACAGGCCTTGCCTGGGAGATATTTGAAACTTGGAACCATGCAAAGTAACCCCGGCAAAGTACAGCATGCACCTCTCGTCGCCCAATGGCATTGTGGTCCAAAGCCTTTTGGCATTGTGGTCCGCAGGCTTTTGGCAACCCGCGCCCTTCCACATCCTGCCGGCACTTGCGCAAAATGAGCCCATGTCAATGCCCGACAATGGTGCCATAGGAAGCAGATTGACTTTCAAGCTGACTGCGGGACGGGAGGATGTGCTGGGCAGCCGGGTTCCAATTGCCGCGAAAAACCACCGTCGCAGCTTCAAAATATGTGCTGGACACGGCGGCAGCAAGCACGAGGGGCCCCTTGGGGGCCCTGAGCGACGTCCAAAACTTGTGGGCAAAAAAAAGCCAGCACTGGCAGCGCCGAAAAGCGGGCGTCCGGAGCCCCTGGGGGCCAAGGAGCCCGACACAAGCCTGCCTCGCTCGGTTCAAATCACGGGGCCCACTTGAATTCGATATGGCCGTATCGTGCAACATGCAGTGAGCACAATTCATAAGTCTACACCCTCAGCTTTGAGAGAACCACCCTTCTCGCGCAACGTCACCTCACATCTGGGCAAGTGCAGGGCCCCCCCATTACCAACAACTAAATACTGGAAATGTTGATCGAACCATGCTTTAAGCTGAAGCTCATACAAATCGACCATCGAGACTTACGAATGTCAAGCCTTGCAGGGCAGGAGCATGCTTGCAGGCATGCTCTATAGCGTGGGGTAGCCGAGTCCCAGCACAGGTCCAGGCAATTTATGTTTGTGTCTTTAAATAGGGGGCTCAACATGGTACCGCTACAAGAAAACACACCCCTCACTATTTGCTTGTAACGTGCAACGTTCTGGCTCCTTGCCGAGGCACGCATGACCTGCAAAAACTCCACGAAACCCACGGTTTGTTCACAGCCGTCAGTCTGTTGCGATGCCCTGTCGAACATCTCCTGCAAACGGTCCATCTGCATGTCCTAGGTGTTGCACGTGATGCGCTGGCCGCTCAAGCTCAAAAATGCATTCTGCACATGTGGGGCCTGTAAAGGGGACTGTTCTTAACCAAGGCATGGCGAACAGAAAATGCCCAACCAATGATGTGCTGCATTGGGGTGCCTAGTTTGTTCAAGATGGGGGGATCCCTTGGCCTGAACCGGCGTTTGTAGGGCACCTCTACAACAAGGGAAACCACGCTCCAGCACGCTCCAGCACAAGGATTCAGTGATCTGGACAGCACAAGGATTCATTCATCTTACTTCTCAATGTGCTCAAAGGAGAGCCTGTTGCCACCGTCCTTGCTTGGCAGAAATGCTGAAAAAGAACGCGCATCTGCACTGGTAGCTCCAGGGGTGGTTGCTGGACTGGTGCAAGGCCAAAAAGTAGGGTGTCCGTTGGCCAGGGCAACTCCCGTGCCTGCGCCAAGAAGAAGTCCCGAAACTGATTTGCCTCTGGGACGGAGAAGCGGAGGCGCTTGATCGCAGCCACCTCCCGCTCAAACCTCACGGCGTGTTTTGGGGAGCCTTATTGGCGTTGAAGGCCCGTGCATCCTGCAAAATTCAGTTGTTCTACTCCTTTTGGCTCAGGGGGTAGGCTTAGGTTAGTTTAGGGCTGGCTTAGGGTTTGGGAGTGGTTTTGATAGCATCTGGGCTCCCTGAAAATGGAGCTATCTCTCTCTCTCTCTCTCTCTCTCTTTCTCGCGCTAGCCTTGTGGGGTCGCAAAATTGAAGCAATCTTGGCCCAGGAATCTCGAGCAAAGACAGTGCTAGTTCGGCAATGTCTCAATCGCGTGGCCCACACGTTGCAAATGACAGAGACTTCGGAAACATGCGTTTGGTAAGATGCTGCATCTGACGTGGAAAGGGAGCCTTGACGCAAAGGTCAAAGGCGAAAGGCTGGAACCACTCTTGCACGGAGCAATTGCAGAATCAAAAATTCCGCCGGCTGCCAAACCACAAAAGCACAAGTGTCTCCAGCCACCCTGGCAAGCTCCGACAGCCGCAAAGAGCCAGGGAAGAAAAAGAGAGCCACTACGTGCTGCCCATCGTGGACCGCTCGACGTCATCTTGCAACAAATGGGCGCCTGAACCCATATAGAGGGCCCTCACGACAAATGGACACCAAGCCGAAAGTATATTGGCCAGCTACCATGTGGGCTTATGGTCTCGCCCCATGCCCTTCTTGCCAAGCAAACTTGTGGGCATTCAAGCTCCGCTTTCTTTTTTGTGGATGGGTCTGCGCCTCCCACGGCCCATCGCCGGTATGCCGCCGAGTATCTCTCTTTCCTCCTCCTCAGGGTTGCCGTTGCTTCAAATCCCTGGAACACGGGTAGCAAACTGGGCAAACTGGCGCCTAACAAAGGAAGCCCAAGTGTTTCGAGCAAATCACTCTAATTCTCAGGCCGGAAATAAGAGAACCCACGAGCAAAGGTCCTTGATCATGGGCTTTCACTCTTTTGGCCCCTCATTGGCGAGCTCATACGACTTGTTTGCCCAGAATCATCTGCGTTTGGCGATCCTTTGACGGCCCGGACACCCCTCCTGATTCAAGATCTTCCGCGCAATTTTTAACACCTCCTCGAAGGTCAGCGAGGCATTCTCCTGGTGCCAGGGTGCCAAGAGTCAGCTGACGACTCTTAACAGCAAATTGAAGTGCCGGGGGGTCGTCAAAGATACAGCCTTCCCGCCGCCTTTCTTTTGGGGGTGCCAAAAAAGGGCTCCTACAATTCCGCCACCTCCCGCCCCACCCCCAATCACCTACCAACTGGTGTATATTTGGCGCGTCCACACCCAATGCATGGAGATCAATGTGCGTGGAAAAAGCAGAGCTCCCCTCCTTCCTGACACCTAACGCAACTCTGCCGACAAAGTCGCTTTCCGTCATACCAAGGTTTGGGGAAGTGGACGCTTAGAGTCCTAGAGTTTGTGGCATGTGATTTTGCAAGGGCTGGTACTGATGGGTCATCGGCATAATTAGGCGCTCCTTCACAGTGCCTCCCCTTCAACATCCGAACCCATCAAACTTTGTTTTTACCGAGATGGTTAGACAGGTTTACACAGGGCTTACCCAAGGTTGGGTTCGCTCTCTCTCTCTCTCTCTCTCTTTGCCGTTGGGTTAAACCAAGCAATACACCGCGCAAAATGGCCAATGCGGGCGTCGGTCTGCACCTGTGGGGATCTATCCCTCTGAGTCCTGTTCCTGCAGCAGCTGAACTAGAAAGGGCCGGAATTCCCGGCACCGCGCCTGCCTGGGAAACCTGGGCGCGGGCCCTACATCTCGGTGGACACAAGGCAGCCAAAAGAGTTTACACAGGGGACCCGACTCAATTTGGGCTTGCAGAACCCCCCAAAACCAAATTCCAAGTAGCTAGGGCCTTGTAGTAATGTTAGGTGGCGTTTACAAATTGGGACCGCTATTGTAGAAATATGGGCCAATATGGGTAACACAAATCCAAGCAAACATTTGGAAATTCCCTTTTTAAGTGGTCCTCAAACCACAGGCCAAACAGTCACCCAAGGGGTTGCCCGCAAGAGGCCCGGATCCTGCTCAATGTGAGTTTTTCGGGGGCTTTCTTTTGATCAAAGGGGAAAGGCTCACATCAGGATATCCATTTTGCAAGTGGTCCCAAGACCATCAAATTTAAAGTAGCTTCTTTGCAAAAACGAAACAGCAAACAGTCACACAAAGGGGTTGCCTGCTAGAGGCCCTCATCCCGTTGAATGTGACTTTTGCAACCTTTGCCGAAACTCTCAAATTGAAGCCTTATCCTTTTACTGTCCATGGGTGGTGCACCTAGGTAAGTATTGTGCAAAATTAGAACTTGCAGTGCTCAAATCAACACTGGGAGCCTGAGAGTACGTCTTGGCAACACTACATGTTCGAACACGAACAATCTGAGAGAGAGTCTTGGCAATACACAATTTGACTTGGCAATGCTAAACGTTGTGCTCAGAATTTGAGAGTAGAGCTTGGTAAAACTAAAGTAAGAATTGCAATACTAAGTGAAGAACGAGGAATCTGAAGAGTAAGTCTTGGCAATTCTTACAGTTTAGACTTGGCAACACTAAACTAAGTACTGAGAATTGAGGAGTAGGCAATCGCCGACACTACATGTAGAATTGGCAATGCTAAGGTACGTACTTGCAAGTCCAAGTCCAAGTCCAACCCAAACCCCCAGTTTTCAATAAAGAGGACCGCGCTGACTGGTTCCATTATTCCAGGGAAATCAGGTGAAAAACCCAGTTGAGTCTGATTTGTGACTGGGGGTTACGGTTTGGACCATCAGGCGAAAAACATACCAACCGACCCAACCCCTCCAGGGCCCCACGCAAGGCTTCGATGAGTTTCACGAGCTGCGCCTTGGAGATGGAGCCGTCCCCCCGGTCCCAGGTCTCGAACAAAGTCTGCAGCTCTTCCAGCTCCACGCTGCTGAAGCCCTCGGCTGGTTCAATTTCTCATAACCAGCCCCACAGGGAGTCACTCAAAGGGCGAACGCCTTGCGTGTCTTGAAACTCGTGTTGGGGCTCGTATGGGTAGGGTACCCATACGAAAATATACTCCAAGTCGTGTGCCTTCATCCCACCAAAAAAAAAGAAGAAAAATATCAAGTTCTGATTCACAAAATCACCACATCCCAGGACCATTCCTGCAAAAGTTCTGACTGGGAATGGACCTACGGGCCCTGGGCACTGCTGGTCACTTTTTCGTCCCATTTGCAGCCCGTAGTAGCCGGATGTTGTGTCCCAAGTTGTACTTCCGAGGTAGACGCAAATGGCAGTAAATCGCAAAGCGTAACAAATATATGTAGCACCGTGTGGTTGCATGTGGTATCATGTGCTTGCAAGCAACAAGAGCAAGAAACATCGGTAGTCCTGTTTTGGGCCCGGTTGTTGACTCATGTTGGACGTTTTCAGCCCGCCCATCTCATTTTAGCCGTAGCTTCTGAATCATGTTAATCATCCTAGTGTTCGCTCATTTTGGCCCTAGCTGCAAAACCTGGCAAAAAAAATAGAACCGAAACAAACAGAAGCTCGGACCGAAATGACGCCAGCTAGGACGGAATTGAGACAAGAATAGGACCGAAATTGTCAGGGGCAGATTCCGGAAACTAGGACAGCACCCCACCGCCGAAAAAAGTTGCCTGGTTCTTCCTGAACGTAGGCAGGCAAGACTTCTTGAAGCGCTCCACGACTCCCAGGAAGACCCGCAGGTTGGCGCCATCCATCTCGCCTGAGGCAGCCGTGACGCAGGGAGGCCTTTTGCAGGGGGCAGTCCGCGGTGCCCCTCAAGTCTTCTTGGGCTTGAAGCGCGCAGAATGATGTTGCACATTCACCGCGCTTCGAGATCCACAGGCGCGCATCCAGTTGCTGAGTTTGTTCGCAGTGAGGGCCTAACTTACTGAATGGGTGGGTATGTGCCAAACAAAGTAGGGGACCGCTAAAAATGGTTCATGGGATGCACGACTGACCCTTTTCGAACCTGCCCTTTACTCTTGTTCATTTTGCTACCGACTCCAACAAACCTAAATCACTCTAAGCCACTCTCAAACACTCTAATGCTTTTGCGTCATGCTGATATGACATGCATCTGTGCAGAAGGCTCGTAATGATACGTCTGGGATTGAATTGCTGTCTCCATGCATGATTTCCCGGCAGACAACTGGCTAAACTGCCCGGCTTTCATAGAGCAAAGTGCTCTGTGAGAATTGCACTGTGGAACACCGTGCTCGTCCCGCGGGTGCTGTCCAGCTGACCCGTTTACTCTTGGGATACTCAAGCGCCGTCCTCGAGAACCGGTAACTACTCTGCATCTGCGCGATGCATGAAAGCTTGTGGAGAGTGTTCAAAAAATCAAGCAGCATTGTTAAGAAGTGGTCCAAAAGAAGCAGCCTAAACAAAGCGTGGATATGAACAAAGTCCAAGTGCCCAAGGACGCTTTACAGTGCTTTGGGATGACCTGGAGTTTTTCAGGGCTCTTTAGACTGGCTCAGGCACTCTGAGAGTGGCGTAGATTTGGTTGGAAACGTGGCACAGAGGAGAGTCATGCCTCCCATGAGTGGCGGCTTTCCATTTGGTTTCCCGATAGACCAACAAAGCCTCAAAACAAGCGAGCGCCTAATTGGGCGCTCTGCCTGGAAAATTAGAGGAGGCAATCAAGCGATGCGTCAGTTACCATGGGCAGGGCTCTGAGTTGGAATTCAAAGGAGGCACACGCTGGCCGCCCAACCGCGCAGGACTGCGTCCGAAGGGCTAGCGCTGCGCAGCGGCAGGCGGCCGCCCTCGAGGCAGCCCAGCTCCAGCAAAGCTACTTTCTGCTGGTCCGCTGTCAGCACTCCCTGCGCATCTGAGCGCTATTAATTTAGCTTTGGCTCAACATGCAGGTGTTGAAAACTGATGCTAGGAAGGCTACTAGCCGAGTTTACCTAATCCCTATCTAATAGGGCTCCTGCAATCTCTATTCAGCAAAAATTATCTTGTTGGCCCCCTTCCCCACCCCAGCCCCCAGAAAAGGGCAAGACCTTCCGCAGCGAATGTTTGCCGAACGTCAGCCAGCATGGCACCCTCATCGAGACCCGAAAGTCGGAGCTTCGGGTTGACAAAACAATTGCATAATTGTCACTATCAACATGTTGTCGGTCCATGTTTTTCGTGTGGCTTGCTTGCAGAACATCCCAAAACACCTACAAGATCTGACAAGGCAAGAACAACCATCAAGTAAGTCTGGTGGCCTTTATGCCTCGGGCGCGCGGGAGTTTGTCATACCGGCGTCAAGAATCCCATGGAAAGCCAAAAGGAAAGCCGCGATTTGGGGGCTGCAGGACCTTTGCAACTGACCGCATTCAGGGTGACATTGCCAGTACCTTTTTCTTAGCACTCTTTTAGGTAACGCGCCCTTTTGTGACCGCAGGGTTGGAAGACCATGTTTGGAGGCCCCCTCGTCTAACTGCTTGAGCATCTTGATTTTGAAATTTGCAGACTTTGATGAGCAGCGGTGGTGCTGTCATTGTGCTACATGCCCTTGCCCGTTTGAGTGGTGAGCTGTGCTGCCGCGAAGAGTTGAGAACATCTAATGTTGGTCCACCCATTATATGTAGACAGCTTGCTTACTCTTTCACTCGAAAGTGATCCGTCGAGTGCTTTTGTGCTCGACGGGGCTTTGATTCAAGACATGTGGCCAGTTTGTTTATCTGCTCTGGAAAGCTGCCACGGGGCCTTGCATCTAGCTTGACAAAGGTGTTTGTACAGCTATTTCAGTTTCCAGCGCGCGCCATCACTGACAACGGCAGCTGCCTTGCGTGTCTTTGCTCGCCGTATGGCGCCGGATCTGTCTCAAGCCGTCCAGCAAGCCACACAGTTGTTTGCACAGCTCAGCAGAAGTCAGACCCTTGGTAGCATCTGACTTTAGTCATCGGAGCCACGTTTTTTTTGAGCAGGGGTTGTGCTTAGCTGCGCGGCGGAGCGCTGACAGTCCATGAGCTAGGCACGCGGCGTGTAGACGGCCGTGGTGGTTTCAAGGGACTATTCGGGCATGCGTGCAGCGTTCTGCATCGGCGTTGCAGTGTGATTCGCCGCATGCACTGTTTTTCTCTTGCGCAACGTGCGGTTTTGAAGTCCAAAATTTTGCACCAAACTACTTTCTACAACAGCTTTTCCAGCTCACATTGGAATCGGACTGCTGACACCTGCGGCGTCCGAATACGAAAGCAACACTGGAAAATCAGATCTTCCACCAACGGGCTCAGCCTCGAACCCCTAGCATCTAGACAAAACAAAGGCAGAAGCAGCCAAAGCAGGGGCAAGGCAGCCACCAACAGTGCAAACGTAGCGAGACCAGGCGGACGCAAGCAAAGGAAGATGTTCAACCAAAGAAATGAAGCAAATCGGATCACGGTGGGGGTCAATGGAGGCAAGGATTACAAATTCAAGCACGGAATCTCCACGCGAAATGGTGCAGAAAACGATGGTCCAAATACCAGGGACAAGCAGACCAAACCCTCAACAGAACCTCAGACCGCTGGAGGTGGAACGCAAGCCAAACGCAAAAGCAGAACAAACGCAAGAACCAAAGACACTTCAAAAGCATACGCATCCATGGCGCTCACGTTGAGCCGAAACAACGGAATGTCCTGCCCAAAAAAAGTATTGACATCAGTGTCCGACCCCACCCCCTCCCACACACACACACACACCCAGCATGACATTTGACACTTGCATTGCGAAGAAACAAGAATCGACCCGACTCGGAAGCCACCTCAAAACAAGCCAGGGTGTTCCAAAAACTTGCGCCCGAAAAAAACAACTCAACAGCCGAACCTTGACATCAATCCCCCCCTCCCTCCCCCCCACCCCACCCCATAAGCAAAATGTTCCACACCAACACAAAAAGAAGCGCGGGCCAAAAAACAAAACAATGCAAAAAGATAAAAATCCTTAAAACACAACGGCCGTCTGCACGCCGTGCACCGTCTACGTGTAACAAGAACGGGAATATCCCACCTCCCCCCCCCCGAAGTCCCAAACCGGGGGCAACTACTCTTTAAAGAGTAGATACCCACTGTGGTCGCAGTCTCTATGGTGCTGGATCTGCTTCAGGTAAGGACCTGATGTCTGATAGACCAATTGTACTCGAAGTCCCTGGTATATGTATTGGTGGTGTTGGTACACGTGGAGCTGCTTTTCTATGGCGAATGCAGCAAGTTATACTCTACAAGAAAGAAGGGCCTTGAGCCACAATAGTTGCATGTGTGGAATGTGTTTGCCATAAGGTCAATGGTCTGGAAAACAGAGAACACCCCCCCCCCCCGGTATGTCAAAATCGCCATGTTGACACACGGTCGATTGGGAACGCGGTACCTTCAGTACTGTTGTCATACCTTGCAGTGCATCGACAGGTTTAGGCCTGTGGACCGCTACAATGGCGGTTTTCCGCTGGGTTTGCCTTTAAGGCGCGCCCTCAACAATTTACCCGCGCACATTTGCCAGCATCAACCGCAAAGCGCCCATTCGTCGTCCTCTTCTTCCGTGTCGGCGGCTTTGAACGCCGCCACCGCGTTCACCTGATCTCGCTCCTGGGCCAGCAATGCGTCTTTAAATAGGGCCCCAAACAATTGTGGCCGTCATTTGCTTTACCTTCAGGGCAGCGGGCAGCCTCAAAACAAAAAAAAACACCTTTCGGGACCTAGCCTTGGCTCGCAAAAAAGCTCGATTTGCTTTGGGCAAGTGAGTCAACGCCACAGCTTCTGCCTTCATCGGAGCCATCGTGCGGCTGGTACCGCGGGTCATCCGTTCAGCAAAACATGGCCGAGGCACGTTACACTTCCGCGCCAGCTTGATGAACATGGAAAAGTCCAGCCAGTGGCCGCCATCGACATCTACCTCTGCTTTTCAAGCACTGTCAGTACCAGATGTGTGCCCCTCTCAAGCGAACCCAACGACGAGAAAGCCACACGTTGCCATATGAAACTGATGTGGCTACAGTCGCGTGTGACCCTACCCGACCGTCGAATTTGACCCTACCGGGGTTGAGGTGGGGGGCTTTTGGGGCTTAGGTTTAGGGATTTTAGGTTTAGGCTTGGCCCCAAACCACCCTGCCAGAGCCAGGACAATTCCACGCTACATTTGACCCTACCCGGGCGTTGGTTGGGTCACAGCTGACAGAGATTGAGGTGGGGTCGACTGTCACCAGCAGGGTTCGACACTATCCCAGAGCCCAGGATATTGTGGGCCAGGGCACACAATAGCCCTTGAGCTATGCACCAGATGCGTCTCATGGCCTAGATTCCCTGAACAGCAGGGTTGAGCCTACCCGTTTTCTAAACTGTTGCGGGTTGGTTGCGCAAACAAACTTCCCAACCCCTGACAAACGGTGCCTTGACCGCATATTTTTCAGGAACATTTCAGCTGTCAGCTGGTTTACACATCGGCTTTTGGGCGTTTGGGCTTTTTGGATGAGTTTCCTTTTGGTGAAATGATGTTCAAGGAGGAAATATAGGGAGCCCTGTGGGCAAAGAATTCCACGCCACAAAACGGACCTCCTGATATGTGTATACATGTATATGTATAAATATATATATACATACATATTTGCGTTTAGGCATCTGGGTGGCCTGTATCAAGCCAAAACCAAAAAAAGAAGAAATAAGAATAAAATACAATAAAAGCTCATCCGACCCCTTCCCACAACTTCCGCCCCGGAGGGCTTCTTGCGTTTTTTTCGCACCTCGGCGGAGATTTGCAGCAGCTCTTGCAGTGGCAGCCCGTGGCCCAACCACCGCAGCGCACGGCTGGCGTACGGCGCTGAGATCCGCTCCTCGCCGGACATCGGCTCCACCTCCCCCCCCCCCAGTGCCATATGCCACCCACCCCGGTTGCAAAATAGTTTGTGCGTGCCCACGGTTCCCCAGAATCAGGTACTAAGCGGGCCGACTTCGGGTGTATTTTTGGAGTACTAGTTTTGAGGAGGTGGGCTTCCAACGTAGCCTTTACACTAGGTGTCCATGCCCCTCCCCCCTGCCAGCCCGGTTTCCCCCAAAAGAGGGCCCGAACTAAATACCATATAGATTTTGGTGTGACAATTTATGTTAACAAGGCCTGGGGCATTACTTTGGGCAAGTGATAGGGAGAATGGAGGTGGATCCACGCTCGACACTTCGGCGCCGCATGGAGATCGTCGCAGGGCAGGCCTCAACCTGGCACCCTCCATGGGTGTTTCTCGCTGTGCACCTCCTTCCAACTAACCTCAAATCAAGAATGGCAAAGTTGTACCAGTACGAGTGTAACAGCAAAGGCTGCTTTGCATGTCGCACAGCAAGTTGAGAACTGTACACCAAATGTGTTTGTTCACGCTTGTCCACTGAGTGCGCCTTGTTTTGAGGCAACCCTTTCTGGGGTTTAAACGAGCCAAACAAGGGCTGCAACCACACCTGCGCCAACCGAACTTTAAGACTGCGGCCATGAAAAACCATCTCCCGACCCAAGCACTCTCCGGAGCGTGCTTGGCTCTCAAGTTGGCAGTGGCGAAACTGGGTTTCCCATCCTGTCTGCTCTTTTTGATCCCCAACAGATTGCATCCGCGGCCCTGAAGGAAAGCAGGGCTATTTGGCTAGCACGTTAAGCACGGCTTTCGCTCCTTGCGTTCTGGGTTGTTGCGCTTGAAGGCTTCCTTCAAGTCCTGCAGCTCGCTTTGAGTGAAGCCGTCGCAGGCTCGAAGGGCGCCTCGGAGTGGCTGGTTTGGAGGGTTTGGGGGTGGCCTACAAGGAGCTCAAACCCCCAAATTCACAATCCAAACCACCAATTCAGGATTATCTGGGCATGCGTCAAAACAGGGGACCGCAAAAACTGTGCGCTTCTTTGTTTTTGGGTTTCCCTTTAAACCAATAAACACACACAATGCTTTCGGGAAGAAAAGGTTGCAAAAGGGTGCCACTGGGCTGGGGAAAACGTGGCACCTAGGCTCGGGGCTCAGCAGCTTGCACACGTCGTCAACGCTGAGGCGAAGGCGAAGCCCACGCAAGGAGGCCTCAGCAAAAAGCCAGTGGCGGGACGCATGGGTGTTTCGGCAAATAAGAGCCCAAAATTGTTGGGGTCCTTTGTTTTCCCCCTTTACCTCCACGCCCAAAAGGATACCCCCAAACAAGACAAACCCACACACGCAAACAAACAAACAAACAAACAAACAAACAAACCAGTTTCCCGCCAAAGGCTGGACAACAAAAAACTGTTGAGGCAAATCGTAGTGGTCGCAGTTCTGCAGAATCTTGAGGGGCAAATGCTTGATTCGGGCAGGATTAAAGTTGTGAGTAGTGCGCACCGCGCAATCAGCATGGCTTGGCCTATGCTCAACAGGCCCTGCACCGCCTTGACCTGCCCCTTGCCAAATGCTAAAGGAGTGCTTGTGTCCAGTGCCAAAAAGAGCTGAAGCCGCCAATGAAGAAACACCAAGGGTGGGGTGACACATTTGGTACACTGCAAACTCCTGCATACAGCAATTGCACTTGCCAAGTGGCCGAGTGGTTGTTGTGGCAAAGGTCATCCTCCATGCTCCAGTTTGTCTCGGACAGCGCGTCCAGAATTGCCTGGCGAGGGGTCATCTTCAGGACCGAGCCTGGCAGTACCCCTGGCACAAACTTGGGTGTTTGCTATATGACGGCGTGTCTGTTTGGGAGGGGCCTCTGTTCTGGGGAGCAACGCTCAAAACAGCAGGAGCAGTTTTGAATCACGCAAGTGATTGATTTTCTGTCGGCCAAGAGCAACCGCTCCTTGGCCGTGCAGGCAGTGACGCTTGATCAAGAAGTTTACGTATGTGTGGAACCACACACCTTCCAAACAAGTTAAAGGCCAATGATCCACAATTGCAGCCAAATCTCACACCATGCCCACAAGCCGGGGGCGCCTGGGGAGAGGAAGAATAGCCCAGCCCGTGGACGAAGCTTTTCAGCTGGTCACCTGCAGAAACCACTTTCGTCCACACCTGGGATCTTGGGATCCCTTGGCTCAGCCGTCTAATCGGTGCTGAGTGATGGTTTACAAGACCCTCCATGAAAGTGTTACCTGACTGTTTCCGCTCACACCCCCGCATCCCCCATGCATCCCAATCCTATGCGCCTTTCAAACAACAATGCCAACAGCTTGCCTAATCGAAAATGGAAAGTTTCTTGGGTTGGTACCCTTGGCCGGTGTGTTCCCTACAAATCTTGCTTGGCCCAAAGCCGCTTGGTTGGTTCTAAATTGAGACGGGGGAGCCCACCAAACAAAGCTGGGCTGTCTGGTCCTTTTGGCTGTGGTATTTCATCCAAATGGTCTGGCTACGGGGTGCCACCGTTCATCCATGTCCAAAATTGGAGACCCTCCTCAAAATGGGTTGGTGGTTTCCTGTCTGCCCCCTATCAACACCATTCCCCCCCCCAACGTTCGCCGATTTCGCCTGTGCATCGCTGGCCCGTCTTCTTCAAGAAGCTCTCCACTTGCTGCAGCTCGTCATCGAAGACCCGGCGCAGGCACCGCACCTTTGTCATTGCCCCGCCCAAACTCTTTGACCTTTGGAGAATGTCCGCCTGAAAGTTGTTAAACAGTGATGGATCCAATAGCATTCAAGGCGCGAAGTCACCCTCACTGAGCTGGCCGTCACTGGCGCTGGTTTGGTGGAACTCCTCACCATGTCTTTGTTTGTGAAACTGTTTGTGTTTGTTCTCGGGAGCCAAACAAACCCTTGACAAATCTTTTGGGCCTCCAGCCTTGAAGCCATGCTTGACCTTTTGGGCCTTGAGGTTCCGAGATCTCAGCGTTCGGGTGCAAAGGCCCTCAGGGGACGCAAGGAATTCCACCCAACTACCTGCAAGCCTTGAGCCATTGAGCCTTGGCACGTGCTTTGTTTGAGATTAATCTTGTTTAAATCTTGGTGTTGCTGCTAAAAGTGTTGTCTGAGTTTGCCATGAATTCTTTCAACAGCCATGGGCGAGCTGAGTATGGCCATGCCAAGGCCGAGTTCAACTACCTTGTTCTGCATTGCTTTTGCAAATGCAAACACCCTCTGCTAAACGACTCAAGGCCCAAGCTGTGACTCCTCAAGGCCCAAGCTGTGACTCCTTCAAATCACTGAAAAGCCTTGGCGTCTCCGCAATGAGAATCAGACGCCGCACGGTGGGGCAACATAGTCTGTTCTCCCTACCTCAACGGGGAGTCCCGTAATTCCACTGAGCAAGTCTTCCCCACAAAGGTGAAGATGTGGCAATACTGTACATGCAAGATCTATTAAATGTTCTACCCTGCAACAACACGGACGGCACCCCACCCCCTTTTCATGGGGGTGCTTTTCCACACGTCCTTGACCTTCTCGGGCCCGCAAGGGAAGCCCAGCCAGGTGAGCGCGCTGGCAAACTCGCTGCAGGACCTCGGGTCTGTCTGCAGGACCTCGAAAGCTTGCGACTGACCTTTTCAGAGCTGCCTCTTTGGGGTTTGGAAAGGGAAGCCAATAGGTGAAAGTCAAGTTAAAAGGTCCTGTTTTAAGACACACCCATGCCATATAGGCAAAAGTGAGCTTGTCGGTTGGCTACAAGATTCTTAAAGGGAAAGCAAGCAGACCTGCAAAGAGTTAACATGTTTGGCTGGTTGAGAGGGAAAACGAAGGATAACAGCAAAACGGCATAGTAAACAAACAAAAGGTGAGTTAAGTCTGCCGATGGGACATGGTCTCTGAGTCGTCGCGGTCAAAGCGCCGGAAGACCTATCGCGGAGACCCCCCCCGGCTTCACCACATGATGTAGAAACTGGTAGGGAGGCAAGCAAAACGCTACAAAAAACAAAAAAAAGATAAACAAAGAAGCAAGTGAACAAAACCGCACGCTTGCAAAGGCACCAATTTTCGGCTTCGTGCGCATCGACGCTTCCCTCTTTCGAGGCCGAGTGAAGGCACATGCCATTGGCGCTCGGGAAAGCAGGTTCTCACAAGGCCCTGACCTTTGACTGATGCAAAAAAATCCGGTGCCATCCCCGTGGAACTGCTTCATCAGTGGCCTGCAACAAATGAGATTCACCGGCGCCTGCGCAAAAGGTCGGCACCAAGCGTGAACGCATCTGCGACGGTAGATGATTTGCATCGTCGAAGCTCAAACTCAATGCTGGCTCTCGTGCGACAAGCCTGGGAATCAACGCTGCCCAGATTCAAGAAATTCTATGCCCATTGCCATAATGTTGACCTGGCGAATTAACGGCCGGGCGGTTCGCAGGCCCGTTCGTTGGGGGTCGTTTTAGGGTTCGGGTTGCCAACACCAACCGTCCCACCTGCCCCACCCGCCCTGTTCCTGAGCAAAGCTCTCGAGCTCCGCGGTGGTGAAGCCTTCCCGCTTGCGGATGAGGTGCTGGATCTTCTGAAAACCGCCTCAAGCTGTGGGAATGGTTCCATTTTCTGACAGCAACTTAAACCCAGGTGGTTCGCCTAGGGAAAGCAACCACTGGTTTGGAGGTGGGTCCAGGGGGAGGTTCCTTGTCGACCATAAGCCCGATTCCTCACTGTGGCTATGGCGCTAAAAGTTCCCGACATTTCCCCTGAGCTATGTGGTCCTTGTTCAGTGGTACCCTCTAAATCCTGGTTTCCCACTAAGGACCCCGACCATACAAGGAAAAAAATGGTCCCATGTGTGCAAATTTCGCGTCACAGGTTGCAACTGAGTGGGTCAAAGCCGCGGTCGCCTTACATCGGTGAGCGCGAACTCTTGTCTGGAGGAACGGTGGGAATAACATCGTTTCTCAGCAACTGCGGAGACTGTCTCTCAGGCTTCATTCTGCTCGCTATGGCTAGGAAGCCTTAAGCCCAGCTTCCGAGTTGCTACGTGCGGCCGATTCAAGGAGCACAAGTGCGTGTTCTTTTTTTGAGTTCCGCCATTCGTCAACTTTCTACCTACGCCAACCTGAGGCGCGCTGCTGGCCAAGCGGGTGGGGTTCATGTTTGAGGTGGCTCCCTAAGCTCAAGGAAACCAAAGAGAAACCACCAGTTTGGGGGGTCTGGAACCCGAGATGGCTCCAATAAAGGGACTTGCAGAGGGTCTTCGTTGACAGCACAAAGGTCTCTCATTGCTTCATGCAGCCTGGCCTTTGGCAATCAAGATAGGCAAATAGGTGCTTTTGGGGGTGCTGGTTTACTGTTGGTTCAAAGGCACCCACCCCCCCAAACGAACAGTTGGGAAGGGTTCTTTCTGTGACACAGACCCAGATGAAACAGAAAGGTATGGCAGCCCACATTGCACAAGCAAGGAACGACAAGAAGACCCCAAAAACGGGAGAGCTTGGCTGTTGCTCTCGCAAACCCATGCAAACGTACACTCCCCTGATGTTCTTAAATGCATTTCTTCGGAGAACACGGTTGCTTGATGCCTGTGCCTGATTACAGCTCCAAGGCAGCAAACCACAGCGCCAGGGATCAACAAAAAAATAAATCCACTCCGCTATCTTTGTGCTCGGGGCACTGACGCCCACCCTGCCAGAGTCGTCCACCTCCTTCACCAAGTCCTCCAAAGTGGCGCTGGTTCCGTTCGGATGCATGAGCTCCGCTAGGCGCAGACGATCAGTCAGTATCCGTTTATGAAATCAAGGTGGTACCAAAGTGGGCTTGTCGACCAAAAGGTGGCAACCAAACACCCCATTTCCCACCACCAAGCACAAAGCCATGGTCAATTACGCTAAACTAGAGAGTTGCAATCTTCCCTGACTTGCATATTTGAGTCTTTTTCAGAGTGCCCTTTTGGGGTGGCTTTAAAGGCGGCAAAACGGATGAGACAACCCTACTGAGGACATCCACCAGCCCATGTCCCACGCCATTCCTCCAAGGTGGCGCGCCGCACCGTCTGGCCCACATGCCGCAGCAGTAGCTCCAGCTGCTTTACGTCCATGGTGCCCTCGGCCCCATTAGACGGCAGCCACGAAACCTTGAGAATCCCCTCAAAATGCATATATCTATATATACGTATATATATATATGTGTGTATATATATATATACATATACATATATATATATATACATACAAATAATACCTGAGAGCCCCTGTAAACATGCAAGCATGCGAAGGCAGGTACGAAGTGGCCTGCCTAAGGTCTTCGCTCTCCATTCTTTGGGGGGGGCTCCAACTACTTCTGGGCCCCAGCACATTTATTCCCGCCGAGTGGCGGCGCCACAGGTGTCCAGCTGATTGAACTCTGACTCGTAGGCCTCGCGCAAACCCACCTGGCATGGTCGCAACTCCTCTGTTGGCCACCGGGGTATGTAAATAATTGTCAGTTTCTGTTTCGTACGCCTAAACATGAGAGTCGTAGATGCAAATGACCTTGATAATGTCAACCTAAGTTTAATAAATGGGGGCGTATTAATAAAATTCTCGGCCACCGGAGCCGATTTTTCACCCGGATATTAAATTAAGAAGGGGCTCATTCAAAAGCTAATTGCAAATATACAACACCGCCCCCCCCAAGTCCTGCAATTGGCCGGGGCTTCTCTTTGACATGCGACTAGGTTTGGGACATGGCGCCGCTAGAAATTGCCTTGGTCAGGCAAACCAAGATATGCATGGGTAGCAAAGGCACCTTGCGGACTTTGAACGCCCCCCCCCCACTCCAGCAAACTGCGGGATAGTTGACAACCGTGTCTGGCAAAAAAGTCGAAGCTGTCCAGGCACTCACGCTCGTAGCAGCATTAAAACTCCGCGCTTGTCATGCCCTGAGTATGAAGGCGATTCGGGGAAACAACCTTGTGTTTGTAAAAGTCCTTTTCGCCAATGTTGTGTCGGGGAAACCCCCTTTTGTGTTGGGGGAAACTTTTGTGGCGAGATGTTCAAAGGGGAAATACCCCCCTTTTTGGTTGTCCAAAAGAGCAACCCACTGAGCTTGGTTGAAAGGGAACAACAATTCATATTCTAGCATTTCAAATGCGGTTCACCACCAATCAATTGACTCGCTTCCTTCCGTCACCTCCAATCACACTCTCTCATCCATTGACCCAACATCATTCCCTCCAACCAATTATCAGCTATTTAGATGTGTTGGAGGGAGTAGTCAAGGGTGAGGTATAGAGGGATAGATGAGTGGGTTTACAGTGAATAGTTGGTTTTCTTGGAAGTCTTTTATCCCTCTCTTCTCCCTCACCTTGCCTCTTCCATCGGTTACCGAAAGGCAAGGAAGAGAGGAATAGCATGGAGGCAATTGTATGCTGTGGAATCCTTCGTTGGTGACCAAGAGATAAGATATGCTGTCCTTGGCATCAGATCCTGAGACTCATCCATTGGACGGAGGCATGTGGAATCACCTCACACCAAGTAATCTCTCTCTCTCTCTCTTATCTCTTCCCTATCATTCATTCCAGAGTGTAATAGCTGGTGAAAGATAGAATGGAGTGTCTGTTCTTTCCTCTATCCATTACCTCAGATATCCTGCTATTACAGAAAGGCCTGGCATGAAGGGAAGAGTGACATTGGGAACCGAGCGGAGGTGAGGTGGACAGGAACGAGAGAAATAGACGGCTTGGAAGCCAACAATAAAGCAAAAGAGAAAAGAAGCAATAAAGCATTTGGAATCATCTTATCATGCCTTTTATCTCTGTCTTTTCTATCTTTATCTCCTTCATATCTACACCTTATGATTACTCTCGCCTGTTGGCTCTCATTCCCTTCTATTCCTCTAACCCTGACTCACTAACCAATTAACACGGTCAAGGGTTAGAAGGAGGAAAGAAGGGGAAAAGAAAGGTTCAGATCCTAAGGTCTTGATGTCCAATATTCCTTTCCCTTCGTTCTCTCGTTCACTCGGTATCTTCTCTCTCATCCCGCTCTTCTCGCGGGCAACATGACCAAGAGATGAGAAGGGATGGCGCCAGCGGGATAATCCTAGAGACAAGAGATGGATGAAGAAAGCTGTAAAATCCTTGATCACCAACCCTTCCTTCTAACTCTCTATGTCATACCTCTTCCTATCCTAGACTGTGATGGAGGGTAACCGATGGAACAGGCAAGGGTAGGAAGGAAGGGATGTAGGTCCTAAGGTTATCTCCGGTGCTTAGTTAAGTGGATTTGGATTTCAACTACTAAACCACAATAAGCAAAAATGTAAAATGTTCCCAACGACAGCCACGCAGCTGTGGGTCAAAATGAAACCACCCGACCCTCCAAAGCACAACAATCAATAAACCACCCAAAAAACTCACATTAAACAAATTCCCCGAAACGCGGGGGCGAGCTAAACAAGTTTTTTGTATCAGGGAGCAAACCAGTCAAAATGATTCAAAAATAAGCAGGGAGCGTGCAGAAGTTGATGGCACAGAGACACATGCAACAAGTGCGCAGCGAGCGCACCAGGCAAGGTAATTTCATAACTGGAACCTTCAAAAGCTCCCCAGCAGACCTCAGATCTCCAAAAAACATACATGCCCGGAAAGTGCGGCTTTTAAATGAAGTCTCTGTATAAAAGTGATGTTTCCGGACTTTAACATGAGGTACCTCACACAAGCTCCCTAAATCCGCATTAGTAAAAGGGTTCATATTAATAACACCTTAAAGGCGACCCCTAAGAATTAGGTATTGGCAAGTACTACAAGTACTACAAGTACTACAAGTACTGCAAGTACTACAAGTACTACTACTACAAGTACTACAAGTACTACAAGTACTACAAGTACTACAAGTACTACTATAAGTGCTACAAGTACTAGATTCAGAAAGTAGCACAAGTTCTACCACAAGTTCTACTACAAGTACTACAGCCACTACTACAAGTACTACAAATGCTAGAAACAGTACTACAAGGACTACTACAAGTACTACAGTTACTACTACAAGTACTACAAGTACTATAAGTACTAGAAGCAATAATGCTACAAGTACAGTTGTTTACAACGGTACTTTGCCCAAAAAACTAAACAAAAACAACAGTTGAGGGGGGGGACCCCGTTTACTAATATGATGTCGACATTAGCCAAGTGGTTTGGAACCTCACCTCGAATCGGCACACCAGGAGCGAGAACTCATCCCGGTCCAAGGTGTTCCAGCGGGTGAGCTGCTCAAGCCTTGAAGGCACAACCGAATGTGTCGCGCTGAAAGTGCCCCATTTGGGCGTTTCCTTTACAGGGTACCCCTTCCAGGGTTGCCCATTTAGCACTGTCAACCACAATTTGGCGGGCAATTTTGAGAAACCCTCAAATCAGCTTCTCTCTAGTTGGTGGCTTGCTTGGATTGGTGGTGTGGGGGTCAAAGAGTGGTTTCCCGTTGCTGGCCAGTGGCAAGATAAATGCTTTGACGGTGGTAGTCAAAGGTGTAAATAGCAATCAAAAAGTGCTCAGCCTCAACACCAGGACTTGAATATGTTCAGCCTCAACACCAGGGACTTGAATATGTTCTGCAGTCATTTTAGTAAAGAGCCTTAAAGAGCAAAAAATGTAAGATAGTACCCAATGTTAACCCGGCAGCACTCGGCTCAGCAGCGCGTCACGCACATCAAAGCCACCTTGGCTGGGATGGTTCAAGGCTCTTGTGTGCGGAAAGGATTGCTCGAGTCACATTACGGTATTGTCGGGGTCTCTGTAAAACCAAGTTTGGTCTGATTGCATCAAAATGTGTGTGTGTGTGATTGTTTAGCTTCTTAAGTCATTTATGGCTGTCTGTGTCCTTACTGACCGCCAGGAACTTGCCCAGTCCCTGACCTTTGGAAAACTAGGTATAGTGTTTGGGACCTGGCAGCTTGATGATTCGAACACGGGCCAGGCCACACATCACCAGGGCGGCTTTCACATCATCGACGTGGAGCTCCCCGTCCTGCTGGTGCTTGGCAAAGGCCTGAGCGCGATTCCGGTCGAGGATGAAAAACCACCCCCAAACCGCTGCCCAAAAGCGGAAAAAAGGGGAAAACCGGCTAACCCAGCTAAGACCAGATCAAAAGAGGCTTTCTACTACGTTTTTCTGTGGGTTGGCTAATCTGATGCACATGCCCAGGTCAAAAAACAGTCTCGACTGTTCTCAGGTTCTGGGAATGATCCTGAGGCTCCCCCAAAGGAAACCACCAGTTGGATGGTGACTGTTGGGGTCACCCATCCTGAGAACCAGCGAGAAATCAGCGTGCTTCTAGCCACGCGGCAGCATCCCACTTCTCACGCTCGGACTTGCTCACGGGTCGGCCTTCGATCTCCTCGATCTCCGTGTCACGCTCGAGATGTGATGAGGCCTCAATGCTTACGAGGCTTCCGCACAATGTGCCGCAAAGGCACGCGGCACGCGCACATAGAGATTGGAAGAGCGAGTTCCTTTCGCCCAGACCCTGATAGGCCAGACGTCTGGCCCGCCCTTCATGCTCCTGGAAAACAAACCCGTGCTGAAACCATTGTGGATCAAACACGTTTAAACAGCTGAGCGCAAGTCTGCCGGGCGGCGGGGTCAACCTCTGGCTGGGTCTCATCCGTCCCCTGGCCGCTTGCGCCATGCATGCACCCTCCCACGAAACACAGGAGCAACCTTTCTCCCTTTTTAGATCTCTTTGAAGGGCGTTCCTGTGCACGAAACCATGTTTCGAGGGTAACTCCCGTTTTGAGCGGGACTGTGACAAACTAGGGCAGCCCAACAACAAATTGTGGTGTTACTGACAAATGCATCCTCAAATCAACACCAGCGCATATGGCCGCCTAGCAAGTGAGATGACTCCATCACTCGAGGGCCAAGGCACTGGGGTTGCTTGCGGCACATGATACCTGGATCCTCACCCTCAAAAAGAAATGTCCCCCCCCCTTATGGGTAATTTTCCGCGGGTCCTTCAGCAATCCAAACTTGAACAAGTCCAGGCATCCTCAGTTTACATGCAAATGCTGTAATACTATGCAAGCACGTTTCAAACGATTTGCGCCAAGTCACTGAGCGGCTCGCCGGACTCGGGCTCGGGCCCGAGCTCGGGCTGGCCGTTTTCGCGTGGCGACGCGTGAGGGCTCTCCGCAGCCTTCCCTTCAGGGGGCTGCCCGAGTCCTGGCACCCGAAACTCGAAGCCCGAGCCCTTGCACGCCGAACATGGGAAGCTGATTTGGGTACTTGAAGGATGCTAAGCAATAAAAACATGTGGATGTTGGATGTATCCTTGAAGGAATCCTGCGAAACGCCCATGAAGACCGCCGACTGCGACAGCTTCAAAGGCCTTAAAAAAATGAACACCACGTACACAATAACGGTGTTCTACCCTTGTAAAAAGAACAAAGAAAGAAACAAGGTCTGGTCATTGTGTTTGGGGTTTGGGTCCTTCGCTTGTCAGGCATCCTGCTTTGTCACCGAACATGTGCTACCACTCAGCTTCGGAACCTTCCACAAACAATTGGGCTCCGAACACCCTGTTCCCACTCTTTTCCCACTCAAACGAGTCGCAAGTCGTTTCGGCGCTGGAAACAGAAGGCGATTATGCCAATACCTGCGAAGTGCGTGCACATATCTGAAAAGCGGACATACAATCCCAACAATCACGTGGCAACTACATGCCTTGATTCGATCAAATAAAACGCGTGAAGAACTACGCTTGATGCAACTAACAAAATGGGTGGATTGGCGTTCGTGTGGCTTCCCTTTGAAGCAACACTGGAAAGGGTATAGCTTTTGGTTGCTTCATCCAGGGTCACCGTTCTGGTGGACTTATGCTGAGGAGAAGGTTTATCAGGCCCTTTGTTGAAGCAGATGTTGATCAGCCCCCGAACGGCGTTTAGACAGCCACCACCGCAGGTTTGCATTTGACCGCGGCACACCTGTTCTTTTCGGCTCGATCCCCTCTGGAATGCAACGCTCCAATCAAAAATCAGCTCGGGGCTCAGGAATTTACAACCCTGGGCCAAAATGTCCTCTCCAGGCTACTGCAAAGGGACACCCGAGGTCACGTCCAGGTTCAGAAAAGAAAATCAAGGCTCCTGGCTGCGACGGCGGTCTGACACGACCTTGGCAGCTTTGCCATACTGTCGAGAGTCTCAGTGGCTCGGCGCCCTTTTTGCGATGGGCGTGTCTTTTGACGGGGTCCCTTTGGTTGGGGCTTTGTGTCCACCAACCCGTTTTGAGGTGGTCTAGCCATATGTGCCATGGTTGTCATTGTTCCTTTACACTGGTTGTCAACAAATCGATTAAGGAATGCTTGGCCATCCTTACCATCCCCAAGTAAGCAGGTCCGTTGGCCATGAACATACAAAGGGCCACCTGTTCTGGGCCATCCCAAAATTGGAAAGCGCATTGACATTAATTAGCAGAGATGCACACAGAATGATGTGCAATACTGAAAATTGCCACCATTTGAGCCCAAACACCTAACTTATTCTAATCATCCGCCCTTTTCCTTGCATGCAAGCATTTGCGAGGAAACAGTATATGTGTAGTTGCGCCAACTGAGGCCCGAGCTGGTAGCTCCTGCGATACAGGCACCGCCAAGGGCTCCAGTTTGGGATGCCGCGGGCTGGGGCAGGGCGAGGCCGCCGGGGACACCGAGCTCGGGCTCAAAGCCGCAGGGGCTGACGGAACATCTAGCGCCTGCGGCTCTAGAAGCCTCCGGCAAGCCGCTCGTGGCTCGTGGCACAGTTGTTTGAGCGTGTGTGTGTGTGTGTGTGTACCATCCACTTTGGAGGAACAACATGGGCAGTTGTTTTTTGTCTTTCTCCAAATCCTGAACAATAGAACATACGTCGTGGTGAGCTCGCTTTACCCAAACTTGCTTGGGTCACCGGCTGTCCGTCTTCCGCCCCGCCCGTTCCGCCTGGGCCCTAAGGGCTCCGCCTCGCCCGAGAAAGCGCGCTTCAAGGGTGACGTCAACATCCCGGGCGTGGACGTCAACGGTGTCACCGGTGCTGGCAGCGCCAGGGGGCGCAACGCCTCGCGTCGGGGACCTGAGGGGTTTGCTGCAAAACTTGCATAAACCAGGCCCTGGGCCCTGGCTTCAAAAAAGACCCAAGAGGAGGTGAAAAGAGAAACAGCTTTCACACTTTTAATTGAAAAACCAAACCGTGAGAGTGGCCCAGACCCCTTGCCTGATTCCAACGACAGCCGGCGGCTGAACCTGCGCAATGCGAAACAAAGTGACGAGCGATCTGGAGCTTGAAGTCGCTTCAAGTGATGATACTGGCAAGAGCTCCCGTTTACTGGTTACACGTTGCACGCACAACACTTACACATGCAAATGTTACAATACCTCAATTCATATACTTGCATGCGCCATGGTCAAAACGCTCGATCTGGGTCATGATGATGATGATGATGATGATTTCTTTGGTTTTGCTTGTCTAAGCCTCCGAGTAAGAGCTGAATGACCAGACCTTCCAACCTAAGGGGCAATTTTGACCATGGGACGTGTGGAGGACACCCCGACGCAGCCCTGCCTGGAGCTCTCCTTGCTGAGAGTAAACTGCCAGCTCTTCACATCGCAGGCATACATGCCGGTTCCCTCTGCGATCAGCTCACCAAAAGCCATGAAATGAAATCTCTGGGAGAAATTAACTGATCTTGTTTGGATCTATTTTGGGCCATAACTGTCCACCAGTTAATCTCTCACCAAAGCTTGGAGCCGAACGAGATACATGCACGCAAGCACGTGCAGCACATCTGCAGGCCTTGTGGATTTGCGATGCGACCCACTCTCTCACACACACATGCCAATATCTTCCAAACCCAAGTTTCCAATCCGAAATGCGCAAGGCAGGGTGCCCCACGCGCAGCCAAGATTGTCAGGCATCAGTCGCTGTCCTGGGGTGGCGATCCACAGTGCTGCGGATTTAAACTGGGAATGGCCTGACAAATGGTTGGTGGACATAAATCCCCACATAAATATGTACATTGTGATCGTGCTAGACAGTCGAAACATGAAATGGAGCAAAGAAATCGTGCCCATACCCGGGGCCCGGAGCTTTGAATGAATGAATGTGCGTTGCTGTCATGCCAGCTGCGGGCTTTGCTGCCACGTGTTTCCACCTTCGGGCCAACCATCACGAAGGCTAGGAATTTGAACCATCAGCTCCTCATCCGCCTCGTCGAACGCGGCGCAGCACTTCCTCGGCGCCGACGCTAAATTTAACTGAGCCAACGAATAAGGGAAGCGTATCCAGGGCGGACACATGTAAAAGACAAAGGATGGGAGAAGGGATGGGATGAACAAAAAACTAAGAGATAGAGACGAAAAGTAAAGCAAGAGATCACTGCAAACAACTGAACAGGACAAGCCTTCACGGTCCCGGCCCGCTTGAGGATCGCACAGCTTTTTCCTGGATTGGCCTCAGAGCGTCAAAATTGCTCCGAACCACTTCTACCCTCGGGAATCCTTGCAGTCAAAACCGCCGGCATTAAGCCAAATGGCGACCATGTCCGAAAGCATGGACAGAAATCCCAATCTTTCTACGACATGGACTTGCAGCATTTGTGCATCACACGCGCGCACATTTACTCCCCTGCCAAATGAGAAGCGCAGCTTAAAGGGCCTCAAGGAGCGCCCCCCAACTGAAGATTCAGATCCAGAAGTTGCACCTCGTGAAACGGGGTGTAGTAACAAACGCAAACGCCACCGCAAACAACGCAGGGTGGCCACGTCATCAACGCCTTCAACAAGAAGCTGATGGAAGGATAGCGAGCAACAACCTATGTGCTGCTGTGGAAGAGTGGAAAGCATCCTTGAGGGGTGGAATAACACTGGCTGCGGATCCAAGCGCTTGCCAGAGGTATTGGCGAGTTGATCTGGGCCAAGGCGCTACATTGCCTTGGCCAAGGATGACCAAGGCGTTTGTGATGACCCATGGAGGTCAAGAACGAGACCAGAGCCTTGAAGGGCCCTGACTGCCTCACTAAGAGGAACGGCGACCTGACATGCGGGCAGCTTGGAATTCAGGCTGTGTCTCGCGTTCAAGGGGGAGAGATCTTTGGGCATGTGAACATGTGAAGAAGCAGCACCGCGCTTCTAAACACATGAGCTGCTCGAACTTGGGCGACGGAGCCCCGCGGTCCTGTCGGAAAAGGGTGAGCTGCTACTGAGTGGTCACGTTTGTTGCACCTGGACACAAGCCATTTGGATCTCACCGGACTTGCGCCCGATTGGACATTGCAAAACAAACCCACGCTCGCTTCGGGAGTCCAAGCGTGTACCACCCTAATTGGAGGATCCTTGCTGATTGACCCCTGCATGACAAGCGTTTGCAAGAGGCGGTGTTCTTGCTCGACTGCCTGGCCTCAGATTGAAAAAGGTTACCTCAGCTTGCCTTGATGTCTCATGGTTGTGTTGCTCGTCTTCTGCTCCTTCCTCTCAGTCTCTTTGCGTGCCTTGCGTCGGCCGCTTGTTGGTGCCATCGCGGGTTAGTTTGCTCGGCTTCCTGTTGTTTGACTTGGTCCTCTTCTTCCTCTTGTTCCCCTCGAGCAGTTTGGCTTGACGTCTTCTTCCTCCTCCGTTGGCTTGTGGTGTTCTTGCTCTTGGCATGCGGAAGCTCTTGAGCAGGTGCGCTCTCTCTCTCTCTCTCTCAACTTGGCCGCATACGAGGCAGCTGCAGCAGCAGCATCTGGCCTGCCTTGTTTGTCAGCCCAGTTCACCGCACCGCAAGCTGCCCGGGCTTGCCCAAAATCCTCGGCATTCAGCTTATGTCACGTAGCGCACGGCATCAGCCATGTTTGCCAAACTTGGCGCGTTCCTGCTGTCATGCCTTTCACCACCGAACATTAACAAATCGTCCGCTTCCACCAGGATAGAAAAGGCAAGGATCCACCCTTGCTGGCTTGTAGCCGGGATCCTTGACCAGGTACCCCCAATTGCTTCTCCTTCTCATGTCTCTCTTTGCCGTCCACGAACTTCATGCACCTCCACTCTTTGCTGGTTGCCCGAAGTGGACTTGGACATGTCTTTACCTCCGTCAGCTCGCGCCGCTGGCTCACCTTCTTGATTGCGTCAAAGCTCCAGCAGTCCTGGGTCTTGAGATCTGCCTTGACCTCCCGGAATCGTGCTGAGGAACATTTGTTTGAACCAACACTCCTCCTCCAAGGTCCTTCTGCCGACTCATTACCTCAGGCTCTCGCAATGAGCTTCCGTTCTCTCCACACTCCCACCATGATATCATCTGCTTGATCAATCTGCATCTCGGCATGAAGTGCCCCGGTTCCCACGTCTATCGTCTGAGTCTACACGTCATCCTCACCAGTCATGGTCAGGCTCCTCCTCCGGTACTTGATCACGTTCACCACCTTCCACCTCCTCGCCTGGTTCATCCACCACGACGCTGACAACATCCAGGTGCGTGGGGGACTGCCTCCACTTCAGTGGCCAAGGGTCCTCGTAGATCACCAGCGCGCAATGTCCGCACAGCTCCCCGCACCTGGACTGGCCACATCACCTTGCGTTCGAGTCAGCCGCCTCCTCCGCCAGCCACACTCCTCCTTTGTTGCACGACGGACAGGATTTTTGTTTGAGCTGATGTGAGTTCACGCCAGCTGCCTCGCTGTCTCATCCGAGTGAAGAAGTCGGAACTCCCTTGACTCCGGAGCGCTGGGTTGATCGCCTCGTCGCTTCGGGATAAACGGGCGCCTTCTTTGGAAGCCCGCCCAAACGTGCGGATGATCCCCGCTGCATCGAAGACCCACAGCATCGGCGATCTCATCACAAGCATTATGCATTTGGTCGTCTTCATGTTGTTTTGACCACCTGCGCCCCATGAACACCTTGCTCTTCCCTGCCCTAGATCCATCTGGTTGTTCGACGATGCTGCAACACCACTGCAGATCTCCATCTGCCCTCCACGAGCACCATCTTGCCATAATTCAGGCGCTGCATCATGCATAACGGGGGCACAGAATCTGAAGAGGCTCCTCCTTCAAACTTCTCCCCTCCGCCTGCGATCCACTTCTGATCTGAGGTCGGCGCCAGTCAGGGAGCTGTAGGACGAGCAAGTGACAACACGAGCGCGGAAGAAGTTGGTGAGTTGTTGGCCAGAGGTCATGGCGTGGACGTCAGTGGACTGCACTCTTCGGGCTCTTTCACGCATTTCCTCTACGATGCGCCGCTTGGCCGGCTGGATCTCCATCGCGACGCCTTGGGCCGGCTCAGTCCTTGACCATACTCCGCCTTGGGCTCTCCGATGATCCCAAGCTGAAGCGCAAGCCAAGTCTGACAACGAATGGCTTCATCTGACGGAAGTTCATCGAGGAGATGACAAGTGCGGAGATCAAGAAGTTGGTCAAGTCAGGCAACCCGGCCAACAAGGGCGCGGAGCTCAGCAAGGATGCGGGACCAGATGATGCGCATGGCGCCAAGTGGAAGCATCTCTGCGTTCCCAGTGAGCCTGCGCATCCCACTGGCTGGCGATAGCCATGCGGGCACCCATTCGTGAAGCCAAATCGTACTTGACTAGATCGATGAACCTGTTCATCATTCTTCTTTGTCCAGTTTCGAACAGCCTTGCGCGGGTTGTGGTAATGGATGTTCTCCTCCTTGTTGTCGGCCATTCTTCCTGGCTGCCGTATTGAGGCCGGTCTCCCGAATCCCCCCGCAAGGCGTAGCCACGTTGCTCGTGGGCTCTCCTTGCGAATTAAAAGTCGGGGCTTCCCATATGTTCCCAGAGGTCAGAAAGCCACTCTGTAGGTGAAAAACAACCCAGCCCTGCGCTGCGATTGTAGGTATCAGGCCGTTCCATGGTGTACTTCTTGGGTGTGTTCTTGAAGTAGTTCAATCCACTGATGGAACCAGCCGCAAAGCTGGCAATTTGGCGGACAGTATCTGGCTCCATCTCAGATCCGATTTGTCAGCGATGGACGTTGAGCAAGACTAGGGTTCTCTTTTCTACACTGGCTGTAAGAGCATACACAAGGCTCCTCATAATGTAGAATATGTTTCTCACCTTTGCAAGAAAATCAATGTGGAAGCAAACCGAGAATCACTCCCCCAAAGCAATGAATGCTGGGCTTCCCGGCTCTCCAGCACGGCCCGCTCGGCGCGGCGCTTCCGGCGTCGCTCCTCCCGCTGCAGCTCCTCAAGCAAGCAAGTGTAATTTAGCGTTGGTCATCCCCGGTAGAGGCTCCAAACAAGGTTGAACCCCCCCCATTTGTCAGAAAGGATAGGTTTAGTCTGTCCTTATTGGAAAATAAACATGAAACAGTCCAACTTTTGACAGAAAACAAATTGGCAAATTACGATTCATGTTGGCCTCATTTTGGGGGTTGGTTTGAACAGTGCCAGTTGGACAAAACGTACTTCATTTTATTTTTAGATGAAATACAGCAAGGGGTCCAACTCATGTTTATTTTGCACACCCGCTTTTTGACAAAATAAAGTCGGGGGGCACATTGGGCTCACCATGGTTTCCTTGAAATCCCCGGAGATGGGGTCCGATCCCTCCGCCCTCAAAGCCCGGTTCAAAGGGAAGCATTCACTTTGCGTCGCCCATTTGATTAATCTGCTTGGTGCTTTGTGCTGTCCCAAGTGGCGTATTGGTGTTGC